GGGCGTGGCGGCCTGGAAGCCAGCCACGTCGGAGAATGATGCGTCGGTCTGGAACGGTCCGAGATTCGACTTGAGCGACCCGCGCACGGGAACCGGCTCGAAGGCTCCGGTAGTAACGGAGGTGTTGAACAGGCGGATCTGCTGATCGCAGGTCGAGCCGTTGGCGAAGATGGGCTGGTTGATGATGGTGTCAAACATGGCCAGCGTGTAAGGCGGGGCCTTGCCTCCGCATGCCGACTTCTTCATCTCGAGGGACATGTACTTGGCACCCGCGGTGCCGTTGAAGGAAGTGCCGCCTCCAGTGGTAGCCGAGTATGCGTTGCATTCGGGGGTGAAGGTGGCGGCGTGGACTTCGGTGCCGTACGCTTGGGAGCCGGTGACGGCAGCGGGGTTGGAGGCCGAAATCAGTTGCTCGGGAGCCCATCGGAATGATGATTTGCCGTCGCCCAAGAGATCCAGGAAGGGGAACTCAAAGCCAGATTTCTGTTTCCAAGTGTCAGTGAAGTGTCCGGTGGAAACGTGTTGCGGGCAGGACTTACGCTAAAGTCGGGAATTCCAAAGTCTTGGAACCGGATATCGTGATCATGACCAGCCTGGACGACAACGGGATACATATCGGCGGGGAAGTTTGGCATGAGAGCCCGGTATGCGCCCTCGAGAATTCCATATTGCTGCGGGATGATTTGACGCGCTGTCGTCATGGGGATCGGGATGATGACCATGGTGACGTTCAAGAGACCGGTGGCATTGTTCGGGTACTGACTGAAGATGGGGTTCGGCTGGTCGACGTTCATGCAAGTGAGCGGAGGCGCCTGGGCGGCGGTTGTCTGCATCTGGATCCCGAAGATGACCAACAAGACGGCGATGGAGGCCTGAACGAGGTAGTTGAAGAGCGGCATGTTGAGCCAGGAAGACAAATTATCGCGTGAGGGCAGAGAGATCTTCTTCAGGTCTGGGCAAGGCCAGAGGGAAGGGAGGATGGTGACCATGTTTTAAGAGCTCTGAGGGTGTAGAGCTGCAGAAAGGAAGAAGGAATACCAGTGAAACATCAGTGGCTTTTTGAGCTCTAATCCTGGCGGTCGATCCGGAGGTTTTCTTCTTTTGAAGGTTTACCGGTAAGGATACCACGCAGCCTTTTTCAAGACCGGGAGCCGCGACGATCAGTGATGGACAGTCGAGTTCCCGGCGGCACTGGGCGGAGTTCGTGGGGGCGTGCTGATGTGACGACGATCCGACCATAAGCCGGAGTGAGAAGTTTGCACAGGCAGGGCTCTCCCGAGATGTCTAGGTTGCCTGGAATGGGGCCAGCCGCTGGGATAAGAGCAGCAGCGGGTTGCAGAAAGAGTGATATTGGATAGACGACGGTGTGGGCGGGAGGGAGCTGCATCCAACCTAAGAGACATCTGGGACGACGGCGCATCCCCGCACGGATGAGATGTGTTCATGGTTTAGTCGAGCAAGCAAGCGACGTATCCGTGGTTTTGGGTGTGTGTGTGTTTGGATTGGACGAGGGCGATTCTCGAGGGATGGACCATGGCTCGGAAAGGAAGAACCGAGTGATGGAAAGGTGGACGGATGGGGTGGAGAGAGCACACACAAAGTGCCGCTTCTGAGAGAGAGTGACACGGTGACAGGGCCAGTGCCGGGCCTTGCGAGTTCGGGAGGGAGAGAAGCCAGGCGCTCGGCTGCAGCCACAGCTCGGATGGCTGGAGTTCCGGGCAGCTGGGAATGGCTCCAAAGTCTCCAACGTCCCCAAGAAGACCAGCGTGATCAGCCATGGACACGGAAGGCCGAGGGACCGGCCGAGGGAGGAATGGAGTTGATTGGAGGGCCGTCTCGACTTGGGGCGGCCTAATGTTGACCACGCGACATTTGCAGCGGATGATTGTTAGCCTGGAAACGGTAGAAGTTATTGATCGTTCGATTCGTTCCACGCAGTCAGTCAGCGGTCTCTTTCTGGAAAAGCCTCATCTTCAGCCATCATCGGCGATGGCGTATGGATTATCGTCTCTGTACATTGTAGTGGTGCTTTGGTGGGTTCGTCGTTCTCCAAATGCCACGGGGAGTTTCCAGATCAGATGAGATGAGAGGATCCGTACGAAGCTTCCAAAAGTGACACTTGATGGTGGCCACTGACACGCCGGTACACTGGCATTCCTTGGTTTGCAAAAGGTTCGAAGTTGGTTGACAGCGCAAAAGTGGCACCCATGACTCGACGGAGACAGGAAGGGCTCTGGTCCGTTGTTAGAAGGGGACGACTGCGACGGCGGCGTGTGCGGGTTGTCTTGAAGCTTGAGTGAAGATCCGAGTTTCACATCGCCGCCGGCGTCATTGCAGCTAAGAATACGTACTGGACGCAGCAGAAGGAGAGAACTGCCTCCGTTCCCGAACTGAAGAGTACGTACTCGTATTAGGTAAGGGGGTCAGGGTCCTCTCAAGACGTTGGAACCGGGACCCACTTGATCCGGCCTAGCGCGGGTTTTACCGAGCAGCGCTGCAGACTGCGCGTGACAAGGCCTGCCATCACCCTGCCACCTCGGAAAAAGCGCAACATGTTGACCATCCATCTTAACGGTGTTTAATGTAACCTGCCAACCGCCTGTCCTCATAGGTAGTATGTGAATCTTGGAATAGTTCGTGATACCCTGGACCGCATAGAGAACCATAGACCCAGACACATCCCCAATATCCCTCAGATAGACAGAATAAACTCAACTGATGCGCGCAACCCGGTCGATCAATGGCGGGCCTACGGAGTACCTACATAGTACCGAAGAAAGCACGCTTTTGGGGTCCCCTTTTGGGCCTCTTGGGGCGGACACTAACGGCCGGAACTGAGCTTCCCGGCATGGGCTCATCTCCTTTCCTCTCCAGACTCCAATCTCACCGTCAATCAATACCGCGTAAGCTCATCGTGGCCGCAACTGCAATTCTAGCGGTGTGACTCTTTGCGCGAGGGAAACAAACTCATCGCGATTCACCCAACCTCTCTTCCAAGTTCCGAGACACAAGTTCGAGAAAGCAGACACTGGTTATCTTTTCCATCTCTGCTAGACCACAGACGCGGACGAACGAACGCACACACCCCTCCACCCCGCACATCTCATCCCACCTCACCATACCCCTTACGGCCACGATCCCATCCGTATTGCAAGGGCAAAAGTCAAAAAATCCAACCTACCTTCAACCGGATCTGCCCCCTCCGAAGGAAAGGAAAAACGTTCCACGGTCCACCAGTCACCATCCACCAGCCATTCACGCCCGCCATGGCCTCCGTCGCCGATCAAACACCGGCCTCCACCACCGCCGCCGCCGGTCTGCAAGAAAAGGCCACCGCATCCGGCCCGCTCAAGACGCCCATCGCCCTCCCGATACCGGCCTCCTCCACCCCGGCCGTCCCGGCCCTCACCGCAGACCAGCAGACCAAATATGACGGCCTCCTCGCCCAAGCCCGCGCCTGGACGGAAGTCAAATGCACCACCGCCGCCCACGTCGCCAAATCGGGTCCTCTGACCGACTCGGAGCGCCAGTGGCTCACGCGCGAGTGTCTCCTCCGCTACCTCCGCGCCACCAAATGGTCCTCCAAGGACGCCGAGAAGCGTCTCCTCGAGACCCTGGCCTGGCGTCGCGAGTACGGCGTCGAGGCCCTCACCGCCGACCACATCTCGCCCGAGAACGAGACGGGCAAGCAAATCATCCTCGGCTTCGATAAGGAGCGCCGCCCATGCCACTACCTGAACCCGGGACGCCAAAACACCGACCCCAGCCCGCGCCAGGTCCAGCACCTCGTCTTCATGCTCGAGCGCGTCATCGACATTATGCCCGCCGGCCAAGAGAAGATTGCCCTCCTCATCAACTTCAAGACGTCAAAGAGCCGCGGCAACACGGCGCCCGGTCTCGGACTGGCTCGCGAAGTGCTGCACATTCTCCAGACGCATTACCCTGAGCGTCTGGGCAAGGCCCTCATCATCAATGGTATGTATATTGACATCTCAGCTCATCCGCATTTCATCCAGCCCATGCTAACACGTGATAGTTCCCTGGATGGTCAACGGCTTCTTCAAGCTCATCACCCCCTTCATTGACCCCATGACCCGGGACAAGCTCAAGTTCAACGAGGACATGCGCCAGTACGTGCCCGAGGAGCAGCTGTGGACCGAGTTCAGCGACGGCAAGCTCGAGTTCGAGTACGACCACTCCGTCTACTGGCCCGCCCTCAACGGCATCTGCAAGGAGAAGCACGACGCCCGGACGGCCCGCTGGATCGCTGGCGGAAAGCAGATTGGCGAGTCGGAAGACTACCTCGGCGGTGCTGTTGAGAAGGGCGTCGGCGCGGAGGCTGCTGCCCCGGCTGCTGCTGCTGCTGCTGCTGCTGAAGCTGCTCCGGTTCCGGCTGCGGCCGAGACACCTGCCGAGGTCAAGCCCACTGCATAGAATCATCGACTTGGCAAATGTTGAGCGGGAAGCTTAGAGATTGATTTGAATCATTATAGCATTCATAGACAGAGCAAAAGGCGCTCAAACTAATAGCAGGATAGAGGGACAAAAAGGTAGACATTTTTGGGTGGTTCACTGATACATTGAGACGGGTGGAAGCTTTCCAAGTATCCCTTCTTATGTAGATCTTCTCATATATATATTTCCCCCTTCAATTTCCTCGTTATATTGTTGGTGATGTTATGAATGAACCTTGGAAGCTTTCTTGATGTGAGGTGGCTGTCCCTGCGCGAGCTCTTATCGTTATCGCCGATAAGGCTGGCCCAATCGCGCAACCCAAACTCCAAACCCACAGCTCCCACCAACCCTGCAGCCTTCCCATCCCCAAACGTCACCCTTTCTCGGCGCAAGCGCAAACACCAAGCTGCTGCCACACACCGACTCTCGAGCCGTGAAAACAGCTCCGACCATTCTTATAACAACCAGATGAACCACCTCCTATCGCAGCGCAAACATCGAACAGCACACTAGGGCTCTAGACACAAATCACCACACACGCGACAATGGCGAACCTGCCAACGACGAAGAGCATCCCGGGCAAGGAGACGCCCGGCCTGCGGTACCCCTCCAACGGCAAGACAATCTACCACCGGCCCCTGAACCGCACAAAGACGGCCGAGCTGAGCCAGTCCAGCTTCGCCTACCTCTTTAGCGAGATGGTCTCGTACGCCCAGCGCAACGTAAAGGATATTTCCGAGCTCGAACAACGGTGCGCTCCCGTCGCTCTGTTTTCCCCTTCTATTGTCCAAGATCCAAACGTCCACTAACTTTGACCCTCAACCCTTCCAGATTAAACATCCAAGGCCACTCAATAGGCCTCAAACTCCTCGACCTCCTCCTCTTCCGCGAACCTCCGCGGACCCAGACCCGGCCCCTCACAATCATCACCCTCCTCCACTTCATCAAGCAGTCCTGCTGGCAGCACCTCTTTGGCCGACAAGCCGACCGCCTCGAAAAATCCGCCGACCCGGCCAAGCCAGACGAGTACATGATTATCGACAACGAGCCCCTCGTCAACGCCTACATCTCCGTACCGCGCGAAATGTCCCAGCTCAACTGCGCCGCCTACGTCGCGGGTATCGTCGAGGGGATTTGTGATGGTGCGGGTTTCCCCGCGCGGGTGAGTGCACATAATATTGCCGCGAAAGATGAGCACGAGATGTGGCCTGGCAAGACGGTGTTTTTGGTAAAGTTTAGGCCTGAAGTGTTGGAGAGGGAGGGCTATCTTGGGAAGAGCTGAGCTGGATGAGCCCCTGAGAGGAGCGATCTGGCTTGATGGAGGTTACAGGGCGAGGAGGCGACGGGGATAATGTTTATTCATGGCGTTCACAGGAAGAGCATGGGCGGCGTTTGGGCGATGGACTCTCTTTTCTGGTGCCTTGTGAATACTTGCTCGTGGGTCCACAACATTTGGAGTGGGATTGTAGGAAGACTCAATGGCACAACAGTCATGAAGCCCAAAAAGACATCAGTAGTAACATTCCACTGTCGATACGGCCACAAACAAACTATCAGTAGACTCCTTTGCACTTAGTAATTCTCGTCTTTGCTCGTAGGTTGAAGCTGCTTGGCACCCCAAAGCAACCCTACGATACAGTCACGATGCCTTCCAGTTCCGACCTGCACCCTCAAAATCAATACCCGGGTATCCCATAACGCCTCCAATCATCTCATCCCAGAATCTGTCTCACTCTACACTCACCATCCCTCCACCTCACCGCGGCAACCTCTTCCCACCACCACTCCCCCCCGCAGCACTCCCCCCAGCCCCAGCCTGCCCCCTCTCCCACCCACCCGCAGGCGGCGGCCCCCGATTCATCAACCCCGACAATCCCAAATCCTTCCACGCCGCCTCCCGCGACCGCTGCGTCGCCTTGGTGATCCCAAACGCCGCGTGCTGGTCCGGCACCACGTCGTCCTCGTCCTCCGGGTTGATCGGCTGGTGCTGCGGCGGCACGTAGACCTCGTCGTCCGGCAGCTTCTCCTTGCAAAAATCCTCAAAGAGGTCGGCGTCGCGCGCGCGGTGCATGTGCACGTACGTGTGGCTGGCGTCCTTGTTCTGTTCCGGGACACGCAGGTTGTCAGTACGATTGATGTCTTGGGTTAGGGATGTGTGTGCGAGGGTGAAGAAGGACGTACCAGACCCATGACTGCGTATTCGAGTGATCTCCGAGGCTTCTCTTTTCGCAGAACCAATGGTTAAGTTTTGAGAAGAGTGGCGGCTTCAGGTTGCGTAATGTAGGACGCAGGTCGTGCTCCTGGTGTTGGGTGTCGGGTCAATGTTGATGTTGATGATGGATCTCAAGCTCCCCACCATTCGGCAGACCCCGAGCAGGGATCACCTTGCACTAGGTACTGCAGCTCTCTGCGAAAGGATCCACTTAACCCTGCATCACTGCACATCCATCGACGACTTCACCAACATTTGGCTACCAAACACCCAGAATGAGCTTCTTCACGACCATAGATTTTGGTTTTAACATTGGATTAGTGTCTGATTTGGCGGTTATGTCACTTGTAAGGGGCAGATGACAAGGAAAGAAGCCCTGTCAACATAGCATCATGTTCGTCTTCTTGATACGATGCTTTAATTTTATTGTTAAGCCATGCTACAAGTGTCTAGGTAGCTTTGGTGACTGAGTGTCAAGCACTGCGAACATGCCTCGGAATAATGATCATCTCGGGCCCATCAAATCATCAAGAGTCTCGTCTTCAACAGACTCGTCTCCGTCTCCGAACAGATTCCCCTTCAGCAGGCTCCTCTTCGACAGGCTCGCTATCCTCGGGGACTTCTTCGTCTTCAGGGCCCTCATCATCTCCGTCACCTTCGTTGTCGTCATCAACCTCCTCCTCGTCATCGTCAGAGTCGTCATCATCATCAGAGTCCTCATCGTCGTCAGATTCTTCGTCATCATCAGAGTCTTCTTCGTCCTCCGAATCTTCATCCTGCGGCTCCTCCTCCTCCTCCTCCTCCTCCTCCTCCTCCTCCTCCTCGGGGACCTCGTCAGTTGGATCCTCTTCAAACTGTCTCAAACGAAGGTCGCGACGATCCTAATTGCCACGTGTGACCGAGACGTAGACTGTATGGTTCTCGTTCCACCAGTAGCCACTTTTCCCATTGACAATGCACGTTGTTTGAATAGGGTTCATCATCCGTGCAGTTGTCAAAGCATAGTCCACATTGTCAACTCCACCAGCTGAGCAGACGGTGGCCTTGCATGAGCCATGAGTCTGGGTGAAGCAAGTGTTGTCGGTCGATACGGTGACTCCATCCTTTTGCCCGGATTGTATCTTTGCGAAAAGGGCTGGGCAGTCAAGGGGATCTGGGGCAGTGATCTAAGTATCTGTCAGCTCTGTGGCATCGATGCGACGTATGTCCTATCGTTCTACCGCTGATGATACAGCCGTAAATCCAGATACATGCGTGGAGAGGTGACGGGAAGCATGATCTAGCAGAGATGGAACGGGCAGACAGGAAGAAAAGAAGCTTACATGATTGCATCCCCAATCATTTCCAACGCCAGGGATCATCTTGGAGATGGCAGAGCCCGCGTTGGTGGCTATTTCGCGCTTCAGTGTCTCGAAGCTTGGGACATTGTGAGACCTGGGTTGGATCTCTTCATGATCCCGAGGTTTGACTTCCTGGTGGTGGCGAGGCTTGACGTCAATGGGACTGGCGATGCCAAGGGCAGCCAGTGTCAGAGTGACAACAGAGAGAGAGAACATTTTGGTGGTCGGGCTGTTGATGTTGCCGAGTGGCGTACGTCTGAGTGGAAGAAGTGAGTTGAAAGGAATGCTGACAGAAAGTGTGTTGGTCCAAAAAAGTAGAGGGATGATGTGGTGTCGTTGGTAGATGAAGGATGAAGAAGAAATGGAGGAGAGGATGGACGTCGGGCTGGAGAGGTTTATATGGGAGAAGACAAACACTCTGGCCCTTGGGCTGCTCACAACGTGGAGCTTCTGGGAAGGAAGGAAGTTGCCTTCTTCGACGGGAAGCTCGCCGACAGCAATTGCCGTATCTGCCCCGGAAGAGGATGCAGTCTCTGATCTCTCCTTTCCACCATCACTGCCGAGATCATCTGCGGAAGCTGCATCGTGTTCCTAGACCTCCATATCCCTGTCCTTGGAACCTTCCCAATCTAGGTGGAAGTCGTCCATCACGTCACACATACCCAACCAAGTCAGGCAACCGTTTGCTCTCCACAACATTAGCGGCAAGAGCATCCTTTCCAAAAGCAGGAGCATGGCTAGAACGGCTTACGCTTTTGAGCAGCGACGTTTTTGATGTTGATGTACGGCACAGGGCCTCAGGTAGGAAGCACCTTTCACGATGTACAAGCGGCAGGTACACGAGGTTTCGGTTTCCTCTCGCCGGACCGATTATGCGTCGTCGAGAGGTTACATCGATCTATTCCTTATTCTATGATTGTACCACCCGTTGAGAAGGTCGAGTCTTTGCTGCTCCTTCCTGCGCAAGAGGAAGGGGGACGGCCACGCGATCATGAACACCCAAAGGTGACCAATATGTCGTCACCGCCTTCCTCGAAACACAGCTGAAGAAGCTTGAAAGAAACCACGTTGACGTCTCCCGTTGCTGTACCATGTGCACCGTCGCAACTTGATGTCTCGGTTGCCAGCAAGTTCGGAGCCCGGTGCTGCACCGTTCCAGGTTCAAAGTCCTCGAGCTACCACACCGACTCTTCCGTTAGGGGTTGGACACGTGAGCATTGCCTTCTCGAGCACCATCCTGCAAGTACATGTCACTAATAAGATCTGAGCTTCTCGTTTTGATTAATCTTGATTCATGTGTCTGACGCAGAGCCGTCTCTTTTTCAACTTGGCGAGAGCACTCATAGATTCAGAGGCTCCTCGTGTCATCGCAAATACAGAATAGTATCACAGATACTTCATTGAAGTCTACATTTGTTTTGTTTTCTCGATGAATGCCTCCTGATGCCGACTGGCCTGCACACAACATTCCAACGAGCTCACAGTGTATTTGAAAAGAAGACAAGACTTCTAGGTAAGGAAGGCTATTTGCCAACAGAAACCAAGGTGAGTTGCTATAGAAGAAGCTAGATAATCAACATGATTGGTTACGCTAAGAACGTATACAATAAACATGGTATTGAATCGAGCAGCAGTGGAAATATTCCTAAATCAAACTCCCCGATATACAGGGAGAGGGATTAAAAGGCAGACAGTCCAAGACAATGCTTAAACCGGCGAAGTTTTCTCTCTCTTTATGCTTCGTTTTGTCTTCTCAACCGTGGCCCAAATGTCTAGAGCGCCGATGATCGAGAAGTAAATGGACACCATACCAACAGCAATAACACCGATAATTGCAAGCGCGGGACTGTCGGTCAAAATATTCATGATTGCTTGCTATAGTCGATGTTGGACTAGGGTTTTGTTTCGAATCGTTTTCTTGTGGTAAAGCAGAAGATGTATCTTTCCGAACTGAAGCGAGTCAGCTCTATAATGAATGGTACTACTCGGTGAGATTTTTAAACAGTACCAAGCAGAGTACCTAGCCGATGGCAAGTCTGAAGTGCAATATAACCCTTGCATCAGTCTTTCCGGTGCCAGCACGGCCGTTCTTGAGATTCCCGAGCTCGTTTGTGTAATCTTTTGTACATTCATCCAAAACGTTTCTCCCTGAGCTGAAACCAATTAGACCCATCACCAGCGATACTACTGAGTGGGAGATGCGCAAAATACCAGATATGATGTCTGAAGTGCAATCTCACCTGGCGTCAAATTCCCAGCGCCGGCGCGGTGTGTCTTGAACTTCCCGAGTTCGTGCTTAGGTGTTTTCTGGTAGTATATTCATCCGAATGACAGTTGATGTATCTCCTGGTCGCGAGTATTCCATCCGGTCGAGGTCATATCTCACATATATATCATCTCATCACAACAAAGCATCTGCTGTCCACAGAACAGCGTCGCCCCCAGGCCAAGGGAAACACCACCACCCACAAAGGAAGCAAAATCACATGTGCAATCATCCTTTGACATCTCACCTACCCCCGGCAATTATCCAATCACGCAGACTATTCCTGTTCCTTACGCTTCTTCAGCGGACTTTTCCACTCTTTTCTCTTTGGCAAGCACGACACGACAAGATGTGTTCTGGCCAGTGAGGTGCTGACCCTGTTCACCATCACAAGGCACTCACTCTCCCGTCGACCAAAAATAAATCCAACACGTCTTTTGATCACGCGCCTTTCAGTTAACAGCAGACTGCCCTGCCTCATCTCGATCCTCGACCTTGGTCTTGACCAAGTAGGGCTGCTCTCCCGCACCTCCCCTCTTCACAAACACTCACCTCCCACACAAAGCCATTGTTTCCTTTGACCTACAACACACATCCACCCTTTTTCTTGAGCAGAGGTGAACTTTTCCTTATTCACTCCAACTCCCGAGCTTTTTGCGAAAAACAGACACCAAGACGACGCAAAATAAAATTCACCAAGGTCGGGGGAGAAGAACATCGCTCACGAGGGAGACCGCGTTCCTTCCCCCCTTTTTTCCCTCATCACACCTCACCCAAACAAGTATTTCTCATCCCACTCCCCCATCGATTCATCACCCGACGACTACGACAACAATCACAAGATAACTTCCATTGTGAGCAGTAGAAAGAGATCCGATTCATCTTTTCTACTACCCTTGCTCTTCCCCCAACCCAAAACATCACAAGATATCACGTGCGATCGTGCCCAGTAGGTGACTTACCCTTCTCACCTCTCGGTCCCCCTTCATCTAAAAAATAGCAACGACTCACCAGCGTCTAGACGGCGCTCATTTTGCGATATCGGTTTGGCATCCCTGCTAGGTTGCGTTTTGTTGTTTGTCCAGCATTTTGCAGCCTACAGCTATACGCACGATACCAGCACATCTTACTCGACTTGGCTCGACACAACACAGCGATACTCATAGCTCACGATCCCTTCTGCCGACCATACATCCCTATACCCAAGCGAACGGAACGGCAGCATACGCACCCACAAGACTCACACGGCTTCTCTCATATATTCCCCCATTGCGGGCATCCTCCAAGATGGCGCCGTCACCCCTTCACTCCCTCCCCGCGCCGACCATAACCCTCAAACCCATCCTAGCAGCATTCACACAGCCGCCAACAGCAACCCCAACAACCCTCATCACAACAGTTGCAAACCTCATCCCCCGAACCGCAACAACCGTCTCCGTCTACATTACTCAGATTCCCTCGGCCTCCGCAGCGCCAGACGCACCAAAGCTCAAGGACCCAGTCTACGGTAACCTCACCTGGACCTTCATCGTGGTCCCCTGCGTCCCGGTAATCGTCCTCATTTTCTTCATCTTCACTTGCTACCAGGAGCGCCGCCGCGCCATTAAGAACTTGAAGAAGAACCCCGATATCGAGATGCAGACCTTTCACAAGTTCTGGTTCCCCTGGCGCGAGCTCGATAAGAACGAGGTCGCCAACGAGGTAAGTACAAGCAAAACCAACCTGTCCTCTTCTCAAATCACATCCCTTCCCCCTGGTGCTCGAGATGATGGTCCTGGTGATGCTGCTGCTGCTACTTCAACTTTGGCTCCAGCTCCCAGCGGCAGCACATCCCCAGGCATCCTCATCCTCGGAGAACACCCCCGTCGCAAGAAGCGTCGATGGGCAGCGTGGCACCCAAGTGACGGAACCCAGATCCCCCCCATAACCCTCTACGAGAACCCTCCTCCCTGGGGCCGACGACACCTCTGGTCCGAGGTCATGGCGTACCCGTCCCTCCTAAACCCAGGCCTCATCCGTCGTCGAAACAAAACCCCTACCAACACCAAGCCCGATTCCGCCGACGATACCTCCTCCTCTTCCTCTTACTCCTCTCCTCCGAGCCCGAACGCCTCTCCCCCGAGACTTGCCTCCCCTCGGACCGCTCCCCCGAGAATCTCACCCCCTCGAACCCCCGGCGGCCTACCTGTAATTGCCGAAACGGACTTCGACGAAGGCGACATTGCCACCGCTCTGAGACGCCCCCGATTCGCAGAGCCCACGACTCGGATCATCGAACCCGAACGCGAACCCGGTCCAGGACGAGATACTAACCCACACCCTTCCCAGATCTACGGAAGAACAGGCCGCCGTCGCCACTGGGGCCACGAAGATGACCATCCCCGTGATGGCCAGAGCTCCAGCTCTGGCGAGAACCAGACAGACACGTCAGACGAAGGAGACACCAATAACGGTTCTGACAACGATGAAGGCAACCACTCGGACGCAGACTCCATAACCACACAGAAGCCCCTCCGTCCCCCAACCGACATCCCCTCCTTCGGCCGCTTCAAAGAAATCTCTTCCTCTACTGCCACTGGTACTCCAGAGAACACCACCGCCGCAAGCAGTAGCGGCACGGGCAATGGCACAGGCACCTGGGCAGCAGGCCACATCCCCTCCTACTACGGCGCCTCTCCATCCTCAGCGCAGACTCACCCCCACCAGCAGCAGCCATCTTCAAGCGCATCCACCTCGACAACCCCAACAGCAGCAGCATCCGCCGGCGCAGCAGCCCTAACCCGCCGAGCCCATGCCGCAGCATCTCGAGCCTCCGCCGCAAATTCAGACGGCGTCTCCCCGCTCTCCAGCGCGCGATCCTCCACCGTCACCGTCACATGCGACCCCCACCGCCGAACAGCAAACACCGTCTCCAGCATCGGATCCGAGCCGGGCTCCCCAAGCCGCTTCGGCACCGTCGAGTGGCGTTCCGCCCTTGTCTTCGATTCTGACGAGGAAGAAGGCCAGCGCAGCAGCAACAACAAGACTGGAAAGGGGAAGAACGCCAAGCCCTAGAACAGCGAGGTCTCTTCTTCTTCTTCCGCTGTTGCTACATGTAGTACCGCACTTCCCGCTGGAATCGACGAGATCGCGACCAAGGCCAAGTCCAAGTCCAAGGGCAAAGGCAAGGCCAAGGAGGAAACCAAACCCAAAGACAAAGGCAAAGGCAAGGCGAAAAGCCAACCCAGATCCCCCGGAGCCAAGACCGATACCATCACCGCCAAGTCCAAACCCAAATGCACCTGCAAAAGCAAAGGCAAAGGCAAAGTCACAGCCGCCAGTGGCGGTGCAGACGTTGTCGACATCGCTGAATCATCCACCTCCGCGTCCGCTTCCTCATCATCGTGCCCTCGGCACCCGAGCCAGAGCCACAACCCCGCCGTCGTCGAGGCATCCCAGTCCACCCCAACCGCGGCACCGGACATCCGAGACCCGGCGAGCAAGAACAAGAACAAGGCCCATCGCAGATCGATTACAGAGTGGCCCCGCGTCTGTTCAGGCTGCGGCCAGGTGGGATAAAGACTTCTCTCACACAGAGGTCTCTCCCCGCGACGCGAATCCCCTGTCCCCATCGTTTCCGTCTGGCTATCAAGTGAACGAGGCGAAACGGTACAGTTACAAGATACAGCTGAGACTTTTCGAAAGACGTGGAGAAGACAGATGGGAGTGAAAAGGGACGGCAATAGAGTGGGCGGCCGAGGTGTACGCAAAAGGGGATGAGAAGAAACCAATCCCACGATGAACGGCGGTGCCATCCACGACTGACACATTCCTCTCCTGAACCCCAAGATCCATCCCACCAACACCACCATACACCATTCCCATCTCATCTGAAGAAATCCCACCGCTATCGTTCATACACCAAAAGCCCGTACTCGCTTGGCGCCCCGCGGACCCGAATGCCATGCCAAAGATGGAAGTCCATCCTTTTCAGTTCGCCATTGGGGGGATCGACAAGTGGGATGGATGGTTAGTTCAGTTCAAAACTCTCTTGAATCTTTCTTCCGCTTTTTTTGCTCTTTTTTGCCTCTTCAGCCACAACTCAGGACAAGGTGATATCCCCGTCTCTTCCCCCTCCTTCATCTGCTTCCTCGCTCCCTCTCGCTCTTCTCCCGCACACAACTCTTCTAACACGTTTGAGCCGCCGCTCTAGTTCCCTCTCGTTCGCTTACTACATCTTCCCATCCGAGCCGACATCGTGGATTTGAGATGGGTAAAAAACCCGCGGGACTTTCTTTCACTTTCTTGTCTATCCCTTTCCTGAACCTGCGTGTGGTGCGAGAAGATTGTGCGTGTGTAAGGATATTGTATGTCTAGGTACCAGGATAAACGAGTAGTACCTCTTTGAACTTTGCTAGATCGGATCGCGATCCGGCACACCTTGCAGTCTGTACTATTCGGTGACGGCCCTTGCAGGCATGAACGTGAATGCCGAGATGGTCGGCCTGTGTGTCTTTGTCAGCTCGTCTTTCGGTCTGTAGAAAAGAAGGGTCTACCCCAACAAACGTGCGTCGTTTCATCGCAATCACTTTGGCCAAAACACGTAAAAAGAAGGGATGACCCATGTCCATGAGTTGGAAGAAGAATCAAAACGACGGGAGACGCAGAGAGGGAAGATGAGAATATGTGTAACCAGAAAAATGCAGCTTACCCGTCAGCCAGAGCGCTTCTCGACTGCGGGGTCCCTGATGAACTCTTTGATTGCTCTCGCCTGATACCCTAATGCGTGTAGAGGCCGTCTAAAAGAGAAGCCTGACAATAATAATCCCACCCCAGTAATCCTTTTATACCACAACCCTCAGCTATGGCGAAATCGCACGCGTCTCTCCTTGACGCAGTAAGCGTGCCTCCAATACCCTTGTACAAAAAGTGCTGGTGCTGTTCTCCCCATTTGAAGAATCGAAAAGTAGGAAAAGCCCTGGTCTCTCCGTAAACGTAGACCTCAAAGTGAATTACTTCGTGTCTCGTAGCGCCGATGCCCTCGAGCTTCTCACAGCCCGGTGGGTTGTCGTTACCCCTTCTGTAGGATACTGAATCGCAAAGTGTCGCTGCTCGCTCGCTGATGGAATGTCCATGCATTGAACTCCAAAAAACGCCTGATCGTAATTATGGTGGCCCCTTCCCTTTGTTGATGACAAGGCTCGATGTAAAAAGAGACAGCAGAGGAGTTGCCGCCCGTGGTGGCCATCGGGCGATAGTAATAATGGTTCGTTGTATATAATACAAGCTGAAGGGAAAGCGGCTCGAGTGTGGTGGTGATAGAGCTTCTATGCGGCTATGTTCGGTGTGATAGTCGGCTGGATGGCCAGATTGACGTTTTGTAGTTCATTGTCGAAGTGTAAATGTCGCCGAAAGACTTGTCATCTTCACTTGTTTCCATCAGGGGTGCCCCAGATGGGTGCGCCCAAAGGCTTGCTGACGCCGAAGCCAACACCGACACCGACGCCAATGACGAGGAGGCCGATGGCGACCTTCATGATGATGCGGTTCTTCTTGCTCATGCGGGCCATGCAGGCGCAGGAGCCCCTATCACGCTTCGCGGCCTTCGCCTTGGCCTTCCAATCCTGCTTGCCCGGCCATATCGTTGGGCAGTCTTTTGTAGTTGAGATGCTCTTCATGGCGTAGGGGTCGGAGGAGGATGTCGTGGTGATCATAGCCTCGATGTCGGTATCGAAGGGGTTCTCGTTGCGGTACGACCGCGGGGTAGAAAGGTTGCTATCGCGGGGCATCTCCAGGCTCTTTTCGGGGGTTGAAGCAACAGGAGTAAGTGTGCCAGGGGTCGTGGCGATGGTGTCAGACAGCTTCGAGTACGCCGCCTTCTCGGGAAGAGCGATGCTGGCGACCGTGGTGTGGACGGCCACCTTTTCTTGAGGAACGGCCATTGTTGCGGCAGGGAGTTGGCAAGACTAGCTTGCTAACGATATGTTTGATCGGTGTCGTATCGAAGGATCAGTGTTCAATTGCTATCGCGGAAGTCTGTCCAAAGGGGAGCAGATGCAATTGCCCAAGACTGCTGCGAGAGGTGGGTTAGTCAAAGGCATTGACCAGGTATCAAGAGTGAATCAGGGCAGAGGCTGGAGGACAAGTGGGTGAAGTAGGGTAGGAATTGAGATCAACAAGAGCCAGACGGGGGGAAGGACTGGGGTGACGTACATCGGAGGGAAGCTCACCCAAGAAGTGACCTAGTGTAAAAGGAATGAAGAATGACAGGCGAAGCCGAATGCCTTGCAGCTGAGCAGCAATGGCCTGATATCAACCCACTCGAATGGTTCCAGCCAGCAGGTGAGGAAGCGGAGCAGGTGGGCGGTCGGGGCAAGTCCCAAGCCAAATGTCTTTCCACTGACAGATGGTTTCGAAGTCGAACCCTGCGGAAGGGTCTGGTGATGTCAACCGGGGGAGTGGTTGGCAGATCGAAGAGGTAGCGAGACACGGGGCGCGGAAAGGGAGAGTGAGGATTGGCGTTGAAATTGAGTGTGGGAGCGAGGTCGACAGAGGCAAGTTGATTTAAGGGAGGAGGAAGGGGAGTGCGGCGTAGATGAAGGGTCCGAGAAGTAGGTAGGAGGAGCTAAAGGTGGTGGCAGAGGTAGAGAAAGCTCGATCCAACGGGTGGTGGGAGGATCAGGATTTGGATTTGGATTTTGAGGACGACAGATGGTAAACGGTAGACGGCCGAGGACTCTTCAGAGAAGAGACGAGACGAGATGAGGATGGCGAATGGCGAAGGACGAGACGTTGAAACCAGAAACCGAAGACCCGTTTAACAGCGCATTTGTGACGACCTTTGACTTGGCAGATGTTGCAAAGTTGAACCCTCGATCAAAGAGACGACACAAGGTAGAAGATGAGAAGGGCCTGAGAATGAAAGCGAACGTGCACGGGGAGGGAGGTGTCACGATGGTTTTATTGGGGATGGTATGTATGGCATTGCGTGTGTACTCTAGAGTCTTGTCGTTTGGTTCTTTGGGTGTGGACTGTGGATTCTGGACCTGGATCAGCCAGAGACGCAGCGAGTAGGGGATAGAGAGCAGAGAGGCAGACTGGGGGGAGTGGATGTTACGGCGACAGAGGTGTGTGTGTACGAATGCTCCGTACAGGAGAGCAGGTGCAAGGCAACCTATGGAAGGTAGATAGGTATCCACCTGTGAAGTACGTACTTATTGGTTAGTGGCCGACGGGTGTGTGCGAGACAGCCCAAGACACACAGATAAACAGCAGAGAGACTGAGAAAGAGCCACAGAGCCACGAGAGCGGCAGAGGCAGAGAGGGAGAGAGAGAGAGACGAGAGTGAGAAAGAGCAAATTGGTGAGTGACAGACATGGGATGGACGAGCGAGACGAGATTGTGGATGTGCATCGCGCAGGGAACACCGAGTACGTATCGGTATGATCCTGTACGCTAAGAGTACGTATCTTTCAAAGACCCTCTTGGACCTGGGGGGGAAGGAGGAGGCAAATGGAGCATTTGGAGCAATGGAACAAGCCGGGGTGTGCCATTGGGGTGTCAATGGGAGTGGAAAGACTCGAATGGAGCCAAGATTGCGCCGGGCAGGGGCACCATGGGGACCCAGGCCCGGCTGCTATTTTCTCTTGCAGCAGCGTGTTTTCCCTCGCCTTTTTTCCCTTTTGCACCAAAAGTCTGCAGTCTGCACTATCAATATCCATCCATACGACTACGAATAACTGTACGTTATTATGCCATGCCACTTTCTGCTGGGGGGGCTAAATTGGCCGGGCCAGACAGGTCCACCAGCCAAACGAGGGCTGTCACTGTCAGTCTAAGGTAGCTCTGACGCCAGCACCAGCACCAAAAAACCTGCACCAACACCAGCATCCGGCATCATCACAGACTGGTTTGCTCTTCTTTCTCTTCATCTCTTGTGATTTTTGTTTCTGGTGCAGGGCCCAATGCTGGAGCTTGGGACACTTGGGGTTTAGGAGACAGACACACCACACTGACCTTGACACTGACACTGGACGGCGGCACCGACAGCGGCGACGAACTCGTCGAGAAGGAAATCGGAATCGCGCATTGATGCCGTCGAATGTCGAAGCGATGCGAGGTGAGGCGATGCGATGCGATGGAAAGTATCCGTTCGTGTACTCTTGCCCTATTCATTTTTCTGCCTTTTGTCTGTTTCTATTCTTCATTCTAGGTTTTCGAGCCTTGCCCTGGGACTCCCTTGGCTTTGCCCTTACCTAAGGTATCTTAAGGTTCCTCTGTAGCGATGTATCTCGCATGTTTCTTACCTAATACACCGACTGCAAAGCCCGTAAATCGGACAAGATAGGTACGTACCCTCGACGGCTCTAGTCTCCACGAGGACGAGGACGAGGACGAGGGGAAAAGAAAGGAATTTCGAGCCAGCTGAACCGGGGTCACACACAAACTCGCAGCCCCCGTGCCTGGCCCTTTGCTACGTACACAGTAGAGTCTGTAGACTCTTTACTAGCGCACTTCGTAGTAGATTCAGAGACTGGCTTCATTGTTGCAACCTTTTCCGTGCTACCTCGGGCCAGTCCAGACCACGCATCAGGTCTGCAACCAGATCAAGTCTTGCCCTCTTTCTGTCCTAAGCTGGCATGGCTGGTAGGGCTACTGGGGTTGCCGACCTGCACGATGGCTCACGAGACCAGCCGCAGAGCAGAGACACACACACATGCGCCGTAGACGGGATGGAAGAAGGGAGCCAGCGGTTGACAGGTCTGACCAGCGCGCCCATGGCACATGTGGGACGTCTGTGTGTGTCTCTGTCTCTGGCTGCTGCTCTGTGGCATCGTAGGCGTGGCCGTGGGAGTGAACAAGAAACCAACTTGGACGATCTGGGCCATACTGCGTATGCCCCCCGCCATGCGCCGTAGCTAGGGCCGAAACAGGTTACTCTTAACCGTGTGCTTGCGGGGGAACTACTTCCAAGGTTCTTCGTCTTCTTCTCCATTATTGCAGTGGCCTGTGCCTGTGTTCAATGTGGTACCTATTGTGTCTGTGCCTGTCATCAATAATAAGCCTGGTGGACTGTCAGAGGGGCGAAAAAAGTTGTTAGTTGTTGGTGGAAGCAGACGAACAAACGGTGAATCAATGGCCTTCTTCGTCCTCGGCAGATATTGAGTTGATTGGCGATGACTGAACCAGCCGGAGTAATCGTCAAAAGGTTAAACCCAATTGCATCTGGCCATCGCAGCGGCAGCCAGCCGGGAAAGGACAAAACTGCAACGATCCAGAGGAGAGCAGGAGCAAGAAGCCTGCCACGCGACCATGGCGGTCAGCCATTGAGTTAACGATGGCCCATGACGAGTTAAGTTTGCAATGATCGACTTTTTCCTAGGAGTTGTTTGCTCGTGCCCCATGGACGCACGGGAAAGATCGTAAGAATACCTGCACATAGAGAAGAGCAGGAGCCAGAGACGACTTGCACCTGCCAGTGCCTCTTGCCTCGCACTTGGGGAAGAAGGTTGCAGTAGCGGGATGGCGGTGGGTTGGTTCGCGCTATGGAAAGCGCCCCCGGTCCTGGCTTCCCTTGATTGGCAAAAGTGGGTATTGGGTTCCATCTGCGCTGCCGTTTTTGGGACTGGCTTCGTTCTTTTTCACAAAAACCACTCCACTAGCGGGAATCTCCATGTCATTTTTACTCGTTTGTTATTGGTTGATCTGGGCTCCGTGCTCCTGGACCTGCCCTGGTCACCCTGGTGTCGAAGACGCTTGAAGCGGGAGGCAGGTCCCACTTGTGCCGTTCATAGTTTAGTGACCATCTGCACAAAGTACGTATCCCCTCACTCAATTCATCCTCCAATGCTCAGGTTCACCAACCTGGAAGGAAGTCTCTGAGTCTCTCTCACTGCTCCTGCTATTGATGATTCTCCAGTCCTGCCTGCTGCTGCCATTCATGCATCTCGCAGCTGTCTGTCGAGCTGTCTTTCAATCTTTCGCAGCGTTTCTCTCCACTGATTGCCATAATTATGCAGTACTTTGCCTTGTTGCCATTTACCTGCTGCCGCCCCTCTTCTTCACGTGAATCCTTTACGGATAGGTTGGCATTCTCTGCGCGTGTTTGCGCTGTGTTTCCCCTCATTTCGCACGCATCCATCCTTCAGGCCCCCCGGACCAAGCTGAGTACGAGCCAGTCAGTAACTGCAGCTCAACTTCAGGTTGTCCAAAAAGGCATTGCTGACTGTATGTGCTGACACAGGCGTTCAACTTCACTCGCCCACCCTCCTCTAGAAGTCTACGCAAGAAGTCTACAGTGTGATCCCCAGCCACTGCCGACGCCGTCTTGTCCCGAAAACCTACCCTAGACCAACTGCCAAGGGCACCCGTCAAGAGGCTTTCAAGTAACGCCACCGCGGACTGCGTACGCAAGTCTTAGCTGCTGGCCGGATACGCCTTGGCTCCCATATCAACGACTTTCACTCTGTCGCACCACGAGCAGAAACCTCCAGCCGTCTCCAAGCCACTACTTGTGACGAGGCCGCAAACCTCACCGTCCTCGTCCTCGCCTTGTCATACCCGAATGCCCAGCAACAGACCGCACTCTTCCATCCGCAAAGAGGCTGGCCCCATCACTGAAAGCCCGCGTTTTCATCGTCCACCGTCGCTCCCCTTCGACGCTCAACCCGAGGGAACAAGGGAAACATCCTCAAGGTTCCAGGACCCCTCTTTCACTGCCTTCTCCCGCTTCTGGCCTGCCCTGCTAGTCAACTGGGCTCACTTGTCCCGTATCGTACAGTACACGCACACCCCTCGCCCCGGCCGTATCAAGGAGCACCACTGCTTCGTTCACTGCAGCAGTCCTCCCCTCTGGGCGAGAAAAGAGGACCATCCCGGCTTCCTCTCGCCTCTTCCTTGGATAAAGACAACCTCGACACCTACAACCACCAGTGACAGGCTATAACAGCCCACAGTTACACAGCAAGTTAAGTCAGGATGCACATTCCGTCCCGGCGCATTGGGAGTTCCATCCTGATTCATCTTGCTGCCGCCGGACCTCTTTTGCTCATTCGTTGAGACGCACACGCTCGGTTCCCAATTGGGTCTTTTGGGCCATCCGGCCGAGTGGCCGTCCCCCGTCTCTTCATCGGTCCCTCCATGGCGGCATTTTTTATCTCTCGACGAGTCGACCTACCGGCCCTTCAACCCAAACACCCGGCCGTCCATCTTCCACGGCCGTATTATGCCACCGGCCCTCGTCTTTATGCAGATATATGCAACCTCCCAGCGTGGCCCATGAAAGGGTCCATGCCGTGCATAGGAGCAGCACCAGCACCAGTAATTCGACATGCTGGGCACCTTGTATTGCCTCTGCGGCCTGCCATGCAAGATCCAAGGCCTCTGGAGTTTGCTATCGCTCTCCCCGCAGCACAGGCACAGGTATCGGCCCAGATTGAAATTTCGAGCGACACAGCAGCCAATGCGTTCCCCAGTTTCCATCTTGCGTTGCCGCCATGTCTTGAGAGAGAGTTCGTCGGGGACGCTCCCCTGTCGCTTGTTACAGGATCATATCCACATATTCCACCCATTTTATATTTCCCCCCTTTCACTGAACGCGTTGCCATTTCCCCTTGTTGCTCGTCACTTGTCACCCATCAGTGACTACCTTGACAGGCTCCGTCGCATTGACGACGTTCATCATGTTTGGCGAAACGACCCTGGCAATCGGGTCTCTTCATGAGGCAGACAGGCGTGACAGAAACCATACTTGACTTTGCCGCCCCCAGTCTATCCTAGCCGCTTGTCTCGCTTGCTGAGAAGCTACGGAGAGTCTCCTTCTCCCTGCGTCAGTATGGATCCAGCTCGTTGTTGATCTAACTTTTGCGTCAAAACAGACACCATCCATCCATCGCTTCTTTTTTTGCGCTATGATGATGAGTGAGAGAGTGAGACAGTACGGTTATGGCCTGAGCCGTTGGATGTCAACCGACGACCGTTGCAATGCTGCTGTCATTGTCGCATCTATCGTCTTTTTTTGCTGAGATTGCCTGGCTTGGATCCGTATCACTTTTCGTTCTCGCTCTCGCAACCTCCACAGGCCGTTGTATTCCCACACAATCCGCACACACCCGCGTATACATCCTTGCTAGAGACGCTGGGCGCTGGGCGGTGCTGGAACATCCTCTCCTCGGGTCTCACTCATCACTGCCTTCTGGATCATCAACGTCAACATCAGTCATCAACTTCAGCCTTCGTTGTCGTTATCGTCATGGCGGATCGACCCGCGTTTTCGCTTGACGAGCAATACGAAATATCCGCATCATAGTCCCATAGCCTCATCCACTGTCATATCTCGTTTTTCGTACGAATACTCCTCCTTTTCCGTAATTCGTACAACTTGCAAGGCAGCAAGATGCCAAGAAGCAGCTAGGAGCCTTTCTGTGCCAAGGCACAATCAAGTCGTAAAGCTTGTCTACGTACGGAACACAGTCTTACGGCTTGCCAACGGTTGGCCCCATCTTCAACTGACCTGACCGAATTCATGAGGTGGTTCTTCCCGTACCGCGTCCACTTTGCGCGTGGTGTCGTGTCGGCTGTCTGTCGGTCTTTCAATTGCGACTATCGATGCAACCCCGTCCCTGAGAAGCAACTAACAATCGGTCGCGACATGTCGTCTTGAATGTCGCCTAGGGGCGGCTCCATCTGCCCGGTTGGCCACTGACCACCATCAAGCGGACCTTGGTCTAGGCGTCCAGGAGCTGGGAGAAGAGGAGTTTGCACTTTGCAGCAGGGCATGCCTTTAACGACATGGTCGACACTGGACACCCTCCCCAGAGACACATCTCGTCGTCGCCGACAGTCCAGAACCACAGGCTCGCCGCTAATGCAAGGCACATCCAACCAGAGTTCAGTGAGCTCACACCTTTTGATCTTTCCAGAACGACGACTCCTAGGTTCCAACACAGAGAACCCCCAACCGAGAACATGGTCCAGCCTGTTGTCACCTGCGGCCTTGCGGCATTCTTGCAGCTCTGCGGATTTGCTCTCTTGTCGCCTCACCCGCCTGGCCACCCCCCCCCCCTTTCCTTTGGCGTGCCAAGTCGTGATGCCGGACGGACGACCAAGAGATAGGCTTGCGTCTCTTGGGTTCTTTTCCGCTTCTTGGCTTTCATGGCCAACACACCACAATCCTATTTTGCCCGAACCGCTACACACCTCCTTCACTCGCTTGTCCCAAATGGCTCGCATGCACAGCAGGCGAGTCGACTCAGTCGAGTAGCAAGGGAAAGTGGGCGAACATTGACTGACAGACACGCTATAATGCTATCGTGAATCCCCTGCTGTGCCTCAAAACGGCGGCTGTCAAATATCCCGCACTCGCCCCCAGATCGCTTTTTGCCGAGGGCAGGATAATGCGACTGGGACTACATTCCACCTGTGACAATCGTCGCACGAGCGGCTCCTCTCCATTTCATCGTTGATCGTTGGCTTCACGAGGTCCAACCAAGCAGAGGGGCAAAGTGAGCAGGCCTCAACACAAACGGGGACCTTGTGCCCGCTTAGCGTACGTCGGCGACTCATGCACACAATGTCGGGGTGCCATCGTGTCATCCCCATCGCAGTGACCGCCCTGGCTATTCCATCTGATCCAAGGAAAATAACACAAGTTCTTGGAGGAACACATGCAGCTCTACACGAAATTCCAGGAAGCGGCAACTTGCGCAGACTGATGTGCAGTCTGACATCATGAGGGGGGAATGCTTGGTCTCCTGGGCAAGTGAGACCAAGAATGAACCGATGCAAGCTCCTCGTGCTAGACGATAGATCAATGTGCGAGCGTGACAAGCCCCCGGGTCGCAGCTTGGATGAGCTTGAATGGCCCCATGGATGTTCACGACTGGGTACTGGAGAGGCGGGCAAGGACACTAGAGAATAAGCCCAACGGGGAAATCCAAATACCACTGCCCACGGAGTCTAGCGCCGGCCACGATACCATTGGATGCCGATGTCGTCTCTGGTCCTAGCTCCGGAGGCGGGTGAGCTAACGGCTCAGCAAGCAGTTTGTACTATGTAGGCGCGGCCGGTGGACGAATGGGAGTTTACCCCTCACTGTCCCATCTTGCGAATGGTACTTGCTATGGTTCAGTTCAGTTTTGGGAAGATCCGGTGAGAGTCGTGAGGAATCAGGATCGAGACCTAGGCGGTCAGGGTTGTGAGGTGTTCGGAATCCAGCCCTTTTGACAAGCTTCGTGAGAGTTTGCTTTAGCCCGGGTCGGAATTTCCGCCACTAGACAGTTTGAACTTCGCGATCACAGAAGAGGCGATCAAAGATGAAGAACATGGAGCGGCAGAGATGTGATGTTTGTGACGGATCTGCTGTAGGTCTCTTGACCATTTCTTGTCTCGCTCACGCACATCTCTGTTTGGGGTTGAGGAGGGGTTCCTTTCTCTCTGCGACCAACGATAAGAGAGGAATTCAGTTCCTTTTCCGAACCTTTTGCTTGCAGCTTGACTGGTTGGCTTATGCTGCCCTTGCTGCTGCTGCAGTCGGAATGGGAATGGCAGATGGGCATGACCCCACCCCCACGTGCCGTGTGAGAGTCGTCTCCCCTTGCGTTTGAAGATCTAACTTGCACGTTGATGAAGCCTGAAGAGTACCCGGCTAAGATGTCTGATATCCAAACTGCCGTTGATAGAAAACTTGGAGGGGTAGACGCTGGACCGGCTGACACTCGCTAACATCAATTTACTTGCGCACTTTCAAAACGTGTGTTCTAGAATCTAGATCACCTCGCGTTCGCGCCGCGCGCGTGTGCGTGGGCATGTGCGTGTGTGTGTGTGTGCGATACAGCGTCGCATTGTGGAACAGAGCTTGTGAGGGAGATATCACGTCCCCGTCCCTGTCTTCTCTTACACCCCATGGCCCATGGATCACGAAGGATGAAGTTCAGATGGCGTCTTTTTTTTTTTTTTTTGCGTCTTTGCCCTGGAAGGCGACTATCCTATCTCAGATCTATCTGTCCTGTATCTGTATCTGTAGGGCCCTCCCACCCCTGGTCAAGTTTGATAGAGATAGGTGAACCCTGCGTTGGCCTGCATGTCGCGATATCGCGGGCATCCTCCGACTCGAGCGGAGGGAAGGATAGAGTTTCTCCCTCCCAAGGTGGCCCAGATACGTTTTCGTATCATCTCTACTGAGGCTATCTTCCATCACTGCTCGTTTTCCGTGCCTTATGATGGATGATTGTGTGGTTTTTGATCGCGGGCTTTGTTGTGCCTTGCGATACTGGGGAGATGGTACGACATTGGTGGAATAGCGTTGAAGATCATGGCGAGTCAGACAGACGTCTTGACTCTTGCGGGCTGACAATACCCGCACAGGCGGGCAGGCTAGCAACTTGCAGAGTTGTTGAATTGTCGTCTCTCCGGGATAACATTAACCACATCGCACAGCCAAAGCATGCGATGTATCGATCATTGGAGAAATGAATAGTGTTTACTAGCTGCTTGAGCCTAAGACGACCTACGAATGCAGAGTATTCTGTCATAGGGAAGGATGCTCTGCGGGAGGAAGCTCATGAGCTTCGGTATAAACCCGTCATCACCTAGCTTCGACACCGGCGGAATTACCGACCGGGGAGGAAATGTTTTGACTTTTTTCTTGTTGGACTGTTGTTCGGCCGGGGAGATTAAGGGCGGAGGAATGGTTACTGCCGAGGGCCGGGCGGGTAACACGGGTATTTCTTGATCTTTGGTTTCGAGCGGGATCGCTTCCGGGTCCGAGCAGAACAGTGCTGAGTAGCAGACGGAGACGCCGTTGAGCTTTGATGCGGTCTGTTTTCCCTTGGGGAGGATAGAATATACAGTTCTAGTTTCATGGATGAGTTGTGAACTTGCGATTATTCACATATTTGGTCCTTGTTTGAGGATGTTGTGATGCTGGGGGTTGGTTGGAGGGGAATGTATTGTCAAGACTGGTGATGGTCTCTATGTCGAACCTGCGGAGCGAGGTGAGTAATATACATATCAAGCGGGATGAAGACGAAGCAGGACTTATCTCAAGCTCTCTCTTATGCCAGAGGCTCTCTACCTGGCACCGTCCAGGCCTTTGACTGCGAAGCGCCGTTTCAACCGCGGGCGATGTTGCAGCTCTGGAAAGCGACGGCGACTTCTTGCTGACGGCGCGCATGTTGATGTTGTCTTCGGAAGGTTCTTTGTGTGATTTCTTCTCTCACTTTTATAGCGATGACCGACGCGGCAAACTGGTATCTTGAGTAAATACCGTGACAAATGCAATACAATACTACTGTTGGTAACATTGAAGATGTCTAGAAATGAAGCCCCTTCTTTCCGATACCTTCGGTCTCTGCTTCAACACCAATGGCCAATACGGCCTATTCCGCGACCTCTCTGTAGACCAGTCCATGTAGTCTTCGGCGACAGTGTAATGTACTTTGAGTTCCGTGCCAATGTTGGTTGATACATGCTTCAAAATCTCGGGGCCCGATGTCAGGTGAACAAATAAGACGCTGAAACAACCGCATGCTAAGAGAACCAGTGTAGAGATTGCCAAAAGTCCCGTTCAAAACTTCGAGAACATGAAATTCTCTGGCAGCGTATTTGTAATCCCTTCAGTCTTTTTGTTATTTGTTAGGTATGAAAGCCTCCTCGAAGTTGCTACATGGTAGCTGGCTTACATCTAGGCACATGTTCTTAAGCTGCCCGAAAATATACCCGATCGTATGTAGATCTATGGTATCGATAGACATGCTTGAGCCTGTTCCCGTGTGCTCGGAAACTCGGGCCACTGAGTTATTAGGAGGATAGGTCGAGAATAGTGGTATCGTTTCGGCTTCCCATAACGCTTCCTTTGTTGAAGGCTGGAGGAAAAGAGAATCGGGTAATCCTCTCAAATAGATGCGGTAATTTGGCAGGTTCCATCCTCAACTCCCTTGAACTCCATATTCTATGCGTATGACGAAGAGGATAAGCTACAGTCATGGCCGTCCATCTTCAAAGTCGGTCTAGTTCAGCTCAATCACTAACTTTGGGACGACGGGTTATGTGGCCTTAGCGGGACGGCAGAAGGACATGTTTTAGACCAAGGTGAAAGTCGCTTGGACACAAAGATTCTAGGCTCAACGCTCTTCTAGATCTCAACTTATTGCTGTCTATAGCATAGCATCCCAATCCATCTGCTTATTCGAAATTTAACCCTTGGGAATCATTGAGAACCTCTCAAGACTTGGTTGTCAAGTCAAACATGAGGCTGTTAAGGTTATACATCGAAACCATGCTATGTGTATGGTTGGTTGATCCGAGATACGGTCAGTCGACCAAAATTCTTTTGTTATGGGTTGGTATCATAAAAACCACTCAACTTGGCTGTACATCAGCGTAATAAGTTTGGCCAGAAACAGGTCCTCGACGCGACTAATAAACACATAAGCAAAGGCACTGCTGTAGTTTTCTTATAACATAGCTTTGAGATTAGTTAGCTGTTCTAGAGGCGGTCATGAGGGCTCGTGTCGTACTCTTGCACCGACCTAGGTCCTTTTAATCAGAATTCTGATGATCCCTCCTGGTAGTTATACACAGTCGTAAGTCTACTCATTGATCAACTTTCCTTTGACGACTTCATTCAGCAGGATCACGCAAATGCCACAAGTTCAAGTCCATCTCAGTTTTGATAAGTACCCATCTAAAGCTGCAGGACCAGCAACATGTTTCTTGCGGCCAAAGAGTCCTCAGGACATAAATCTATCCCACAATCACACCCACTCGTAGCCCCAACACCGCAACTTGCACCTCTCCCACCCTCACACAAACTCCCATGGCTATCAATTTTAATGCGTAGTGTTGAATAGTCGCTTACCAGTATACGTACCCCCGCTTCCAGTGAACTTGTTGTCCGACAGCCGAAGTGCGAGGAGACTAAGGTCTCCTCCACAGGCAAGTGGCTCCAACACATTCGAGATGGCCTTGACCTGAACAACGCCGGCTACAACAACGATGCGGATCTCCAGCTTCAGTCCCCAAACATGGTCGACGAATCCTTGATTGACTCGCCGCTGTTGACCACCGAATCAACCAAGAGAAGCGTTTGCACTCCCATAAGAGTCTCCTTCGTGAGCTCGGTGGCATGTTTGGCGTGAATGAAGATGGCACTGGGGAACACCTCGCTAATACCAAGGGCCATGGGTTCGCCACCGCGCATGAGAGCAACGATGGCTGTTCGGCTCTCGTCGACAAGTCGATGACCATCGGTATTGTAGCCCTGAACATGGGGTATGAGATATGTTTATAGGCCGAGCAGCTCCGTCAGAAACTCGGTAGCGAGGTACCGTCCAACTTGCCCATGAGCCGCTCTGAAAATAGGACCGGCCACCGACGCGTCGCGTCTCGATGTCATGAGAAGTTTGGCTGCACTCTTGTTCGTGGCGTGCAGAACCCGGAGGTTGGCGTAGCGGTATAGGAAAGATTCCACGAAGGCTTAGCCAGAGATGTCGACAATCGGTAAATGCTCTGGAGTGAGGCGGGGTGAAGAACGATTCGGGACTAAAGCCTGTCTTGGACGGAAGTTCTCGTCGCCAGTAATGGCCTTGGGCAACTCACCGTCCATAGTCTTGCTTCTAGAACGCTCTTCGCCGACAACGACGATAGCTTGGTCGGCCCTCTTGAGCATGGGCAGGTCCATCGGGCTGTCTCCAAAAGCCCAGACGGACACGCCTTTCTCTTGTAGATGGGAGACAACAGCAGCCTTGATCTTAGAAGTAACAACATAACGATCAATGAAGCGGCCCCCGCCAATGATGTTGACGCTAACATCGAGGTCCTCTCTCTTCAGAATCCGTTCCCACATTCGACGAAGCCCACATGTAGCGATGACAATGCCAACGCCGCGATAGCGCTAAACGGCGTGAAACAGATCCATGGACTCCGGATATAGCGAGGCAGCCGCGGCGACTTCCTCGCATGTGTCATAGAAAGTGCTGTCGACGTACTCATACAAAGACATGGCTCGGTGAAAGGAAGCAAGGGAGTAGCCGTTGTTCTCGCTGAATAGCCTCTTGAGGGGACATCCGAGGTCGTCCCAGAGCCAATGCTTTCCAATGATTTCCGGACCGCCCAACATACGGTCAGGATTCTGCTTCAGCGAAGTTGCCTTGAGTCTCTCCCAGAACATCGAGCCCATGTCCGCTGCGCACAGCGTTCGATCCGCGTCCAACACCAACACCGTATGCAGTAGATCGCTGTTTCGACCCGAAAAAAACATCCTGTTAGTCTCGTTTCTGATATGACGAAGGTTCTATTCGTCTTGGGTCGCAATGCTGCGCAGCACGTGATTTATGCCATCATAAGAAGCCATCTCGTCGAGATATAGCGGCATAAAATGCATGCCATTTAGACGAGAGACGTGTGATAGACCGGCCATCTCTGCATTCTTCCACTTTACAAGGTGTTTAAGCTGTATGTCAGGTCGACTTCGGCTTTTGTCGCGAGTTCGTTGATTCCATAGGATGGTAGCGGGCATGTCCAAGTAGAGGATGTGCGTGTAGACGCGCCTGTCGGCCTCGGTCCAAACAACCTCATGGGAGGGAGATTTAACGTCCCAGAATGAGTAATGGCCGGCGACGATGCCAATGCGTCCAGTCACGGTACATTCATCGGCAACGTGTTGAATGGCTCGCTGCCGTTGTCGTATTTTAGCGTCGTTGTCGAGTCGCTTGAATGCTTCTAGACCGCCGTCGACGAGGTTCCCAATGACCTCGGACCCTTCATAGTACTGGAACTGATTTTCAACACCGAAGCATTTCTTGAGACGGTACAGGACGTAAGACTTGCCAATGCCAGGAAGGCCGTATAGACCGACGATCGTAGGTTTCTTGTCTTAACGGGAGAAGTAGTATTGGAATTGGAGGCAGACATCCTGACTGGGGATGGAGAATGAATTGTTCATGTGATCTGAGAGAAAGTGGCTCTCCTTGGTCAGAATGAGGTTCATTCATTAGAGCAAGATCAAGTGGTTACAGTCCGGCTGATATACAAGGTCGGACACTTCTCCAGCATTCATGACCTGAGAGAAAAGAGCTTCCCAGGGGCAATCATGAGACAAATGACAGCAAGGGTCATGGGTTTGCTTGAGGCAGATATGATGACCAATGCTAGTGAAGAAGTGTTTGTCCGCATTATGGCAGCTCATGTGCCGACGTAGTGTCTCAGTCTGCCTAGAATCCCAAAAGGTTTCTTCTCGTTTGTGATGATAGTTTCTCCACTGTCATTTGTCTGGTGGTGATTTAGACTGGTGCATTTGTCAGTGTTTGCCTTGAGAAACGCACCACAGCATCTGACGGTTTTGGAAACAGCTTGTCGCAAGCTAGGCAGCTACGATACTCTTAGAAATATGGCTCTAGAATATGCGAGCGATCGACAATGAGGTGTTTCCGCATAAGGCATCACAACAAACGGCAATGAAATTTCGTTTGTGTCCGCTGGCCCCCTTTGAAGGGGCTAGCTGCTGAGGCGAAAGCGGTAGACAATGTTTATGACAATCTCTCATTTCCCCAAGTTTAAGTATCCCTCCTCTTTCATCAGGCAAATGACAGTTGATCCCCTGAGCTTGGAATACATAGTAGACAGTAGAACAAGCTGAGAACTGAGGAGGAGCCCGTGAAACGTGCGCATTGCTCCTGATATTTGTTCCGAATAATGGCTTTACCTGAGTTGCTTTCTCAACCATTTCTTGAGTTCAGATGTATCTACATTACATTACGCTTCTGACATCGAGAGGGGTATCGTGCTATCATACAAAAAGTTCTCCCCGTGCCTAAATCACCTATGTAGCATCCCGTCCGTCCATCCATCTAAATGTGTTTCGTGCCTTCTGTCTCGGATCCAACGGTCGTAACCTCATCTTCCTGTTTCAAGGCCGCACCATCATCACCACGGCTCAGACTCCGCCCCCTCGATTTCTCAAAATCCTCAACATCCCGTTCGCTGCCCTCATCAAGTTCCTTCTCCTTCTCCCTTTGTGCCTCAGCAGTAACGGTAGCCGCCACGACCCCAGAAACCCCGCCAACAGCAGCCGCAGCCCCAGCCGCCTCAGCGTCCTCCTTCGCCTTCTGCTTCGCCTGCTGCTCCTTCTTCACGCTCTTCCACTCCATCCCACCAGCTCCGATGAACACGGAGCAAACCATCACCAGCGCGACCACGAACACGACCTTCAGCGCTCCGTTGTAAGCCTCCAACACAGGTCCCCTCACATTATCCGGCAGATCTGTCAGCGATGTCGCGCCGGTAGTCTGCAGGTTGATTCCCTCGAGCCCAGGCAGGCCCTTGATCCTCTTCACAAGCTCGTTGTTCAGCACCGTCTGCCCAACTGAGATGAACACGGCGCCGCCGAGCGTCTGCGAGAAGAACATGATACTCGCGCCCACAGGCACGTCCTTCAGCTTAAGCACCGTCTGCGCAGCGAGATTCGGCGCCTGAAACGTCATGCCCTGCCCGATACCGTAGATGACCTGGTACGCCGCCCACTTCGCCGTGCTCGTATCCACCTCAAGCGTTGTCATCATGCCCGCGCCAACGGACATGATGCAGATACCGACGAGCATCACGGGCGTGTAGTACCCGATCTTAGTAATGACGCCTCCTGATACGGCCGCGAAGACGGTCATGGAGAGAACCATGGGGAGGGTGCGGACACCGGACTCGACGGCCGTGAAGCCCTTGATGGCCTGGAGCCAGATGGGGAGGTAGTACGCCATCAGCATCATCTGTCCGCCGAGGGAGAAGGCAGCCCAGGCGGCGAAGGCGATGGAGCGTTGGCGGATGATGCGCGGTGGGACGGTCGCGGTGTTGGGGAGGAGGATCTGGATGGCGATAAAGGATAGGAGGAGGACGACGGCGAGAACCAGGAGGGCAATGATTCGCCCGTTGCTCCACTGCGATTCATTAGCCTATGTTTCTACTCGTAGGGCAATGGGCAATAAGGGGTAAGATAGGAGTGAGAGGAAGGGAAAATGGTGAGACTTACGGCATACTCAACACCACCCCATTGCAACGCAAGAAGCAGACAAACAACACCAGGAATAAACACCGAAGTTCCCGCAAAGTCCAACTGCTTCAACTTATCCCACAACGAAGATTCGGTAAGATCCTGCTCCGGCGGCCTCATCACAAACGCAATCACCACCAGCGCGACGCCTCCGAGCGGCAGGTTGATATAAAAGCACCACCGCCAGGTAACCTTTGTCGTAAACGCGCCGCCCAGCAGCGGCCCGATAACGGAAGCGATACCAAATACGGCACCGAAAGCGCCCTGGTACTTGGGGCGGCGGTGCAGCGGGACGGAGTGGACCATGACGACAATGGTGCCCGCAAAGATACCCGCGCCGCCGATGCCCGCGATGGCACGACCGACGATGAAGGCGGCGCTATCAGGCGCGGCACCGCAGACGGCGGAACCGACTTCGAAGAGAACGACGGAGCAGAGGAAGACGCGCTTGATGGGGAAGAAGGCGTAGAGCTTGCCGAAGAGGAGCTGGAAGGCGCAGGTTGTTAGGAGGTAGGCGCTACCGTACCAGCCTATGTCGGTGACGGAGTGGAAGTCGTCTGTGATTTGGGGGATTGCTGTCGCGATGATGAGGCGATCCTGTTGGTGGTGTTAGTCTCGTGGGAAAGGGGGATAAGGAGGATTCTGAGGGAGGTATTACCAATGCAACGAGGAACATGGATACCAAGATGGACAGCATGATTAGGAAGAGCTTCACACCCTTTGGGTACTGGATTGAGCGTGTCGTTGAGGTATGCGTGAGAGCATGCTGGGCGGGTTGCTGTTCCTCTTCATCGTGAATCTTGCTCGTCCGTGATGAGGCGGGTGGTTCGCTCGCTGGCGTTGTCGCGGGGATGGCGCCCTTGTCGCGCTTTTCGAAGAACATGGCGATGGTCTCAATCTGTCGTTTGTTCGTAGTCTTCCAATCCAGTATTCCAAAACTTCCAAGCATTCGTTCTTCTGTTTCTGTCTCCCAAAGTTGTAGTTCAGCTCTTTCGATTCGTTCTCGACACTCTTAATATAGGATCGACCTAATATTTCTAATTAAGAACCCTGCAGATCTCAAAAATCCTTTCGTTGTGAACTGGAGGGGTAGTCGGGGGAGTCGTAAAGAAGTCGACGATGATGAAGAGACAAGTAGGCAATCAACACAACCAAAAAGAAAGAGTCATCCCAAGTACATATATCGCATTTCCCCTAAACAAGACAAAACAAGCCTATTCGAAACAAGCAAAACGAATTATCCTCCGAAAAAGGACGTAAGAAACGTCCGGTCACGACGAAAAAACGACCTAACGCATGTTCGCATGACGAGGACGACTCACATCCAACACCCGTTCGGGGATTTCTATTCTCCTTTCTTTCTTACCTCCTTACTCCCGCCCAATGACAGCAAAGCACCAGGCCAAAGAACCACCCTAAAAGAGCCTCCAATCTTGGCTCCCGCCCGCCCGCTGGTGTCTAGCCACGCGACCTAGACCCCAAAGATCCAAAGACTTGAAATGAGTCTAGGTCGGTCTGACTCTGAGCCAGGCTTCATTCCGAGTTTCTTCCTGGAACGTGCCTGGTTATGAAGGGACTCCTTCGCGGCGCATGCTTACGTACCCACAATGACTTATCCACAAGTTCACGAAAGCCCATCCAACAAAACAAATGCCGAGCGATTCTCGGATCTCAGTTTTTCTCGATCGTGAGGGATACCATACCCGCTCTTGTACGGATATAAGCCAAGCGCATAGGCAGGTAAGCAATCGGCATTTTCAACGCCGACTCACAACCCCCAGTCTTGCACTGGTGCAGTAAGACATGCCTCATCCGTGACGCTTAAACCCAGCAGACTGTCCAGGTAGTTAAACGCCACGCGCAGCTGCAATTGGAAAAAGAAGAGAACAGAAGAGAGGAAAAGGAGCAACACGCATGAAAAGGAGTCGTCAACTCATCATTCCATACTGGCCCATCAGGCCAGACGGGGCCGAGCGGGCTTTGGTAAGCTCCAGGTGAGAGTTGTTAGCCCCGAATTTGGTGTTGTGACTCTTGTGTGGCTCATCAGAGCAAATAGAACGAACCAGGGCGGGCATTGAATCGGCTTAAACTAAACCATTCAAAGGAACCCCAAGCCACAAAAAAAGACCTCGGGGATTTCTACACCAAAACGGGTAAAGTCCCAACCCAACCTCGGTCCCGAAGACAAGGGTCGGCTCACGGGTCCATCGTTCCCCGATGTGCCCGAGCCTCCGGTCGTTTGGTGCTGTTCACACACATGTTTCTATCAAACGGGACAAGGGGGATGTCGGGGTGAGTATTCCGCTCCGCTCCGTCCACGGTCGAAAATACACAGCCCTCCAGCCCTGAGGCCGCACTTGTCCTGTCCGTCTCCCGTTCCTTGATTTTTCTTGAGTGTTTCTATTGACTTACCGGATGTTACCCACCCTAAAAGCAAACAATTATGACTCTTATGCTTCTTCTCGCACGGGCTCCTTTTCCGGGCCCGAACGAATCGGAGTCCTCCGCCTCGGGGTTTTGCGTTTGAATAAGGCAGTTCACCAGGAAAATCTCGGGATTCAGAAGCCCAGTTTTGAGGTCATACGGACGTGGCTACCATGGACATGCTTCTATTAGCGAATAGTTCCCCTTTCCCCATTCTGACAACTTGCAGTTTTATTTCTTGGAAGGAAAGTATCAGTTGGGTCAGACGGGCATTCGGTAGATTCAATATGTCCAGCGCCAGTATAGCTACGGATCAACGCCTCTCTCCCATGAACGATGATCCTGTAGTACCCTGGTAATAGCAAGATCGTTTCGCAAATCGTAGACGGGCAGCGGACTTTGAACGTGGAATCTCATTCGCTAGGAGTTTGCGACCAGGGAGTAAGTAAACTGACGAGTCGTTCCATCTGCCTGCCCGCGTCGTAAGCCCATAGGTGATTGCATATGCAAGTCTCGTATCCTGAGTGGCAGACGGGCAAGGCAGACAGGGCGTCAATGAGACTAAGTGTCGTTGTATGATGTACGGATAGAGCCGTCGATACTGAAAACCGTGTCTCCTCGGAAACAGCATCCGCAAAGGCCCCCGCATGTCACCGATGAAGATGAGCCCACCACTGCCAATCTTGCCCCTTTTCCGGTGAGGAGGGAGCCCAAAGGTCCCA